TAAATAGTTAATTTGATACGAATATCGATATATTTTTGTTATGCATAAAGTACTGTATATTGATGCATATTACTTAAAATTCAAGATTACAAGTGATTATGCATAAGTACAACTTATAAAAGCTCGATGTTTGAATTCGTATAAATAACTGCGGATAAACATAATCAAATAGAGGATGAACATCTTATTTTAAAATCTAAAAAATCTAAAATATAATTAGAATAATTATCGAGTTCCAACAAAATAAATAATTATTATCTTTATAAAAAATTATATTGTTAAACCAAATATAAATTACTTCGTTATTGTACATAAATTAAATTAAAAAATTACACAAAAAAATGAGAAATTTCAAATATTCAAACATATATTTTATTCAAAAATAAAAACATCATCTTTTTCTTAAAATCACATAAAGTCATATTATAACATCGACTGAGATAAAGAATAAAATGAAATATTAAAATCACGATGTATCTCGCTGCATTGCTCGAGTACGCTTCTAGTTTTAATAATAAACGTCATATGAGAGTTTGGTTCAATGGCGTTAAGAAATATGTCACACCGGTGGCCGATGTGGTGGGGGAGAGAGAGTTATAAAATGATTAAGTGTGCGTTTGATATGCATACAGTACATGATAGAACAGCATATGACAAAACAGAACAGGACAATTGTTCAGTGTTTGGTAAGACATGTCAGGACTAGACATAATTGTTTAAAATGACCAATTTACCCTCAGTGAGCTGTTTAGTGTCTGTTTAGTGTTTTTTTCACTAAATAATCAGTATAAATGTTAACAAATACGGTGTGTAAAATATAACTTACATCAAACCACTACTACTTGCAAAAATACATGATTTCATAATCAAGTAATGATATATGAAAAAGATAAATATAATATAAGCATCAAGAAACCATTGTCGAAGCAAATCTATATGCATTCCATACTAAAAAGAAAAAACTACTACTAACAAGCGTATAATCAATTAAAATGGATTTAAAATCAAATAGTAAATAAAATATAAGCATCAAGAAAACAATTTGGCTAGTGATCTCATATAGTATCATCACATTCACAAAACTTGGATTCCAGAAAACAAAAGAATTCACCTATCACCTATGCAATCACTCATTTAAGATCAAAATTGAATATTTACCACTCTGATCAAAAGAAAACATACAAAACTTATCGAAAACAACAAATTGCATGCGTGAACTTTACACAATACGTTTGACGGTGATAAAATCAAGAAAATAAATTATGTAATTTATTAAATTATAATAGAATAATTATTTTTTATAACAAAATATATCATTTGATGTTTTCGTCAAAACAATTAAAATGACTTCAAATAAAAAGTTTATGTGATTTTCTATTATTATTTTTATCTCTTTTCTACATTATTTTTTATTATTAATATATAATAAATTACATAAATTAATAAAAATATAGAAACCGTATAAAAATAATATTTTGAGGACAGTAAAATGAAAGTTTAAGAAACATAAAATACAATAAATAAAATTTAAAGAATGAATAAAATGTAAAAGAGATTTCTATTTGATGTTTTAGAAGATAATTAAGTTTTATTTTGAGTTTATATTGGTAAAATATAAATCTGTTCCACCTTGTTCCACCCTGTTCCATGGGGTAGGGGTGGAACAGGCCTGTTCCACTATGTTCCTGTCTGTTTCACATAAAATTCATGCCAAACATGGGACAAGGATCTTTGTCCTGTTCTATCATGTCCATGTCGAGTGTACCAAACGCATCCTAAAAGAACAAAAAAAAACCCTTGATTTAACAGAGTTAAGTTAAAGGGACTAATAATATAACAAATGATAATTATCTTTACTATATGATAAAACATTTGACAAAAACTCTTAAAAACTATCTTTTATGCATGAAGCACTGTTTATTGATGCATATTACTTAAAATTTAAGATTACAAGTAATTTTGCGTTAGTACAACTTATTAAAGCTCCACTTTAAAAATTTGTGTAACTAACTGTAGATAAACATAATCAAATACATGATAAACATTCATTTTAAATATATATAAAATCAAAATTGTAATTAAGATAATCGTTGAGTTGTAACAGAACGATTAATTATTATCTTTAGTTTATTATATTATTAAAGCAAAAATAAATTTATTTATTATTATATCTAAATTAAATTATAGAAATTACAACAAAAAACGAGAACTATTAAATAATTAAGTCGATATTAATATTTTTTTTTTAAATTTTATGATATCTTCAAATTTATATTTTATTCAAAAATAAAAATTTTCACGTTTTCTCAAAACCACATAAAATCATATTATATCGCTAAAGACAAAGAATAAAAATTAAACAATAAAATCGAGATTTTTCTCTGTGCATTACACAATAACCTTTCTAGTAATGATTAAAAGTATAATTAGTTTAAAATAAAGCCCAAAAAAGTAAGTATTCTTAAACCAATTAAGCCCAAAACCAAAACGGCCCAACCTTGAGCCCAATTGATTATGGATATTGCTTCGGTTGTGAATTTCGATTTTCAGGTGAAGAATAGACATGGACTGATGGACACACCCAAGCCTTATAAAAAGACTTCAACTCATAATTATTATTATTCACAAAATAATTTTTTATTCATCCCATCATGATTGTTTTTCATATCGAAAACTATAAGAGAATTTTTTTTTTTTTTTTTATTAACCTGGATATCCAACTCGCTATGCGAGTCGACTAATCCAAGAACAACCACCTGCTTTGCAGATAAACCGGAGTCATCGTAATGTTTAAACAACTCGAGCCATTTTAAAAATCATCACAATGTTTAAAATCCTATTGATTAGGTTTGGTTAGGTACTGATTCACAAAGTAGTAATAAGTTTGGTACAGCTGATTGTGACATAAAAATGTTTACATATGTTTCTATTTATGTTTATAATCCTACTGCCCTACACAATGTTAAAAGTCGACTACAACTAATTAATGGGTATCATTTGAAACTTACCATACTGGGCTTTTTTAACAAACTCAAATAATAAATTAGTTTATTTTTGTCAAACATGACTTTATAGTATCTCATATTGGCATATGATTCCTATCATAAAAATACACTTACTATGTATCTTACTTTTTGAAAACACGAGTGTTAAAAGATATAGTTTTCTCCAAATAATTAATGCAATGATCAAATAAACCATAATAACTAAATCATTTTTGTATCGACAAACAACGCCTTCGCAGATAACGATTTATTTCTAAAGCCTATGTTATCTCTCAATGACCCCAAATCAAGTAGGCGAAGGATCATGTGAAAAGGGAGTTATGGTGAGAAATGTAAG